CGCCAGGCCTGTGTGAAGTCACCTCTCACCCCACTCATCTTGCCAACCTTCTGTTTAAATCTGATCCTGCCTTAGAGGAAGAGTGGCTCTTCCCAGCCCAGGATCTGAAGATGAATGATAAGGTTGCCACAGTTTTCTTTTACCAGTAACTGCTTTAGTGACTGTTCTGAGATGAACAATAAGACTGGACAGCAGAGAGAGAGAGAGGGGGAGGAGAGAGAGAGAGAGAGAGAGAGAGAGAGAGAGAGAGAGAGAGAGAAAGGACATCTGACACAAGGTGAGCTGAAGCAGAAGAGCCTGGGTCCTCCAGGACAAGGACTCACTGGCTTCAGGAAAGGCTCAGAGGGGCAGCCTGCTTAGAAGATTGCCTTTCATTATTTTGGCTCAAATTTATTCTAATATAGAACTAGAGAAATGGCTCAGTGGTTAAGAACACACTAGTTGCTCTTCCAAAGGTTCTGAGTTCAATTCTCAGCAACCACATGGTGACTCACAACCATCTGTGATGCCCTCTTCTGACTTGCAGGACACTGTATACATAATAAAATAAATCTTAAAATACTAGGACTTGTGTCTATGAATACCACATTGAATGAGTATTTGAAGATGCTTTCAAAGATTTTAAGTTTTTGAAACATTTCTCTAATGTCCTTGGCATAAATGGCTGATTGTGACATGAAGGCAGCAGCCAAGCTCTTCTGGGTTTTCCCTCTTGTTTCTTTCATTTTGTTAAATTTTCTTTTCTTAGCCTAATCTTGAAGAAAGTGCCTCCTAGATAATTCTGAAGCTACTTAGAGAGTGACGAGAAAGCCACCGGTTCCTGGAACTTCTAATTTATTGTCTCCCAGTTTAACAGTGAAGTAGATAGTTTTCAAGTTCTTTATCTCCTAGGCTAACCAAAGAGAAACAGACTGGCCCAGGTTCTGGGTGGGTGTCTCTGAATTCTGGCTGTATTGGCCAGTCCACAAAAGAAATCACAGATGTGAAGGAAACAGATGCCACCTCAGTTTTGCCATCCTGTCACTAATCTGGTTAGCCAGTGAGAAAATGTTCATCCAGTATGTATGGCTTGACTCCAAAGGATTAAAGAAGTGAAATTATGTCCACAGTGTAACTTAGCAAATCAATGTCATTGCTGGACTCACAACTTGGATTATCAATGCCAATTGTCATGGCCTTTCTAACACAGCATTACATGCCATACTCACAATATTTAGGGTAAAAGACACGATGAAATCACAATATCAACAACATTTTAAATTAGTGAAAATTGAGCACTTTAGTATCAGAAAGATTCTACTAAGAGATAGGCAGTTATAAATCATGATAACTTGAAAGTAGAGGGGAATGCTCATTTCATTAAAATTTACCTAATGTGGAAATATTTTTATTATAAAATTTAAAGGACAAAGAAGACTGCATTTGAAATGGCTCTACAGAATGAAGGGGAGGCAGAGATAGACAGGGGACTTGGCAAGACTAAGAGAGAGGATGTAAGGCACACAGCAGAAACAAGCAAGGAGGTGGGAGTGGGGATAACTTACATCTTAACTTGTCCATGATCTTCCCTCCACACAATGTGGCCAAAGCCATTTTGACAGCAAATACTGAGATTTTACCATGGCCTTCCCTGTTTAATGATAGCAGAAAAAAAGATGATGTTATTTAGGGTATGTCCAATAAAGAATGTTGACATTTTCTACTCTGTAGAAATTGTAGGATACATGACTGCATGCATTATTCATTTTAGAAAAGGTTGTGAATACAATTCAACACATATTGCTGATAAACTGTCTGTTTGATGCTTTTGTTTTTCAAGAGACATCAGAGTCTCCTAGTTTTTTCATTGTATATGTCACTTGCTTAAAGTATAGACTGGTAGCCAGAGAAATATGCTCTAGATAACTGTGGGTTTAAATAGAAGATCATGCTTTTTTTCTTTGGGTTTCATGAAATAATTTTATGCATGATTTCAGTTTCTATAATTTATTCAAACAGACTTCAGAAACTTCATATTGTATTTCCTTAGAGAATTATTAAATTTAAGTTAGGCTGAGTATGTGGGCTTTTTTTCCAAGTTCAACTTTTATTTTTATTATTTATGGCATTTTATTTTATTTTTTATTGAAATTATTCTTCTCTCATACAATTCATCCCAACCACAGTTTCCCCTCCCTACAC